GGGAGGGAGGGAGGGAAAGGAAAGGAAGAAAGAAAGATAAATTGATTGACTGATTCAGGGAAAAAAGAAAAAGGGGAATGGAAAAATGGTTGGTTTCAAGACACTAATTTTCAGCTTTGTGACCATTCTGTAATTTAACTAAGCAACAAATGCTTACCAGTATACAGACCAAGAACAGAAGGCAGCGGCTCACCTGGTTTTACTTCTGCTTCCTCTTTTTTCTCCTCATCTTCATCATCCCAGTTATCCTAAAGAAAAGGATCCTGTTAGAAATTCCTGCATGTTTTTTTTCTTTATTATAATCTTTTTTCTTTCTTTTTTTTTTTTTTTTTTTAAATGGTACAGGGTCTCACTACACAGCTCAGGCTCCTCGTGATCCTCCTGTTTTCAGCCTCCCCAGTGCTGGGATTACAGGTGTGCGTCACCAGGGCTGGCCTTGTCCCGTCTCAACGAATGGGGAATGGGAAGTAGGGGTGGGGGCAACATGTGGTATCATGCTGGGAATGGGAATCAAACCCTGGTCCCTGCACTTGCCAAAGCAAGCACTTAATCCACTGAGCTACCTAGTGGCCCTTATTATAATCTTATGAACTTACCTAACTCCACAGCAATAAGCCTTTTAATATTTTTTTATATTTCAGTACTTCAATAATAAATTAATGGAATGGACATTTTAATACTAAGCTCCTTAATTAAGAGCTATTTTTCCATCCATTTGTTTAAGCCTATTTTTATTTTCTCTTTTAAGTGATTTTACCCATTTCTATGTAGGGTTTTTGTGTATTTGATAACTTCCTAAAACATTTTTATAAATGTGAATTTGAGAAAAGTTGTTTCTCTTATCAAATCCTCTGGGCCAGGCCAGTGGCTGATAATCCCAGTCCTGGAAGGCTGAAGCAGGAGGATCAACCTTGAGTTTAAAGCCATCCTGGACTACAAAGTGAATTCAAGGCCAGCCTACACTACAAAGTGAGACTCTGTCTCATAAAACTAATAAACATCCTCTAATTAATTATTTGTGTACAGAAACATATTGCATTTTGTATGTTACCTTACTGAGTTCATCACTTGAGTTCATTCTATCATTGATTCTTCACATTTTTCTAAAACACACAAGTTGAACAGTCCTAAATCTGAAAGTATTTGAGTGCCATCTGATGCCAAAAGTAGTAATTTTACACTTAGCCTCATTGATAAGACTAAAATCAAAGCACAGGCACACTAAAAAGTGTCTGAAACTGCCTTCAGGGTATAAGGTGTGTGTGTGTGTGTGTGTGATTTTGTGAATATATATATATATATATATATACACATATATATATATATATATTTTAAGGGAAGGGTCTACAGGGTATTCAGGGTCTCACTACTAGATCCACCCATTTACAGTCTCCCAAGAGGTGAAGGGGCTGGGGGGATGGCTCAGTAGAATAAGCTTGCCTGGCAAGCTCAAGGGCCTGAGCTCAATCCCTAGTTCCAACAACAACAAAAAGAGCTGGAATTACAGGGGCGTGGTGTGCGCCCCTCAACTGCCTTCTCAGGGCACCTGAGGGGCAAGGCCAGCACAGCAGGCCCGGGGATCAAACCCCAGCCCCTGTCCCAGCCTGCAAACACTTTAATCCATTGAGCTATTTGGCCAGCCCCTATAGGATATATATAAATCATAAAAGAATTTCAAGTTTAAATTTGTTCCTATAATGGGCCAGACAAATAGCTCAGTGGATTAAAGCGCCTACAAGCAGGTGCAGGGGTAGGGAGTTCAATCCCAGTGCCTGTTGTGCCGGCCCTGCCCCCAAGGCATGCTGAGAGGGTGATTGAGACCAGGTGTGGTGGCCCATGCCTATAATCCCAGCTCTTGGGAGGCTGTAAACAGGCGGATCACTATGAGTCCAATCTAGTAGTGAGACCCTGAACACTCTGTAGACCCTTCTCTAAAATACAAAAAAAGAGAAAAAGAAAAAAAGAAATTTGATCCTATTGGGGTTGTGGAGATGGTTCGGTGGAATAAGCGCTTCCCTGGCAAGTGCAAGGGCCTGAGTTCAATCCCTGGTTCCACCAAAAACAAAACAAACACACACACACACAAAAAAAAATTTGGCGCTATCAAAAAAAAATTAGTCCTATTCCAAAGATATATTATTATGAAGATATCCTAAAATCTTAAGAAAAAAAACTCCATAAGCCAAACACTTCTAGTACCAAGGATTTCAGAGAAGAGACACTTAGTATGTAACACAATATCAGTTACAAACTGACGACAAGAGCTGAGGAGATAGCTCAGCAGCTTAAGCATCTGTCTGGCAAGCTCAAGGTTCTGAGTTCGATCCCCAGTACCTCAAAACAAACAAACAAACAAAAAGAAAAGAAAAAAGACAGCTACTTTGACTCTACCAGTTCTGCTTCCACAACTTTTTTCTGTAACAACACTTTCTAAACCTGTTAAGTACAATGCTGAATAGCAGCAAAGGGGCATATCTGCCTTATTCCTGCTAATGAAATGCCCAATACCCACCAAAAAAAGTCACGTTACACACTGTACCACATTTACCAGTCATTTCTTTATTACTTTTATTATTATTATTTTTTTTTTTACTGTCTTTGGTACAAGGTCTTACTACGTAGACCGAACTCATAGTGATCCTCCTGTTTTCAGCCTCCCAAGCACTGGAATTACAAGCGCTTGCCACCATACCCGGTCTCAATCACTCTCAGAAGCCCCAGCAGTGAGGCCAGCACTGTACACTGGGGATAAAACCCCAGTCCCTATGCCTGCCTGAATAGTCTTTGTTACCTTTAGATTTTGGTTAGCTAGGAAATTTTATATCAAAGAACTCACCCACTATATTTTTTTTTTAGAATATATAATTGTTTTGTTAATTTAGAACCTGATAAAATTTATTTGGCGTTTCCCCCCTATGTATAATATAAAGAACTGATCTCTTTTTGTTGTTTGGTTTGTAATAACTAGGGGCTCTGCACAAGCTATAGCTTTTTTTTTTAAAGTTTTGAGACAGTCTTGCTGAGTGGCTGAATTGCTCAGGCTAGGCTTAAATTTGTGATCCTCCTACCTCAGTCTCTAATAACTTTACTGACAGGTGTGTGTCACCACAGTGTCAGGATTTAGGGTTCCCATGTCACCACACCTAGCTAACTTTTTCCTTTCCAAATGGTCAGTCACTTGCACAGTATAATTCATTTTTTTAAAACACCACCTGGTGAAAGCTTTGTCCTTAAGTTTGTTTCTCCTTTGTATAAGAATTATTTTTGCCTATGACATGTACTCTGAGTGATGTTTGGCCAGTCTTTAGTATATTAATTATTGTTATTCTCTATTTTTGTTACGAAATTTTGTCTTAGTTTTTCATAGAAGTATGTTTCACATCTTCTTTACTAACATCTACTTGTATTATATCTTTTTTAAAAGGACAAATAACAAAAAGATAAAAATTCCTCTTTGCCTCTTGATTTACCACACACTAAATTTTCCTGTGTACTTGATCTACTTCCAGGCTCCCTATCCCATCCCACCATCTGGTTGTCCCTTCAAGTACGAGAGTGTCATTGTATTTTGATTAGAACCTTCTAATCTCCCTTTCCCTGGTCCTGGGGATAATTTACCAGAGTTACACCTCTTTTTCAACTTGAAAAAGGGTCTCACAAAGATGCCAAGGCTGGCCTTAAGCTTATAATCTTCTTGCCTCTGCCTCTTCAGTAGAGGCAATTATAGGTATGTGTCACCATGTACAACTCTCCTTGGAGGTTTTTAGGTTTCTAATGCTTTCTTAATCATTCCTGCATGTTTGTTTTTCATATGAACCTTTATATTGAACTTACTTAATCAATAAAAAAAGATTCTTCATCAGCAATTAAAATGTAAGACAACCATTCCAAAATAAATAGCCTTAAAAAGCGATTCAGAGTTGTTTTAAATAAAAGTACACAACACTAGATAATGAAATAAATATATAATACTTCAGCCTGATGTTAGTCAAGAGAGCTGATTAAACCTTTATGGTTTCACTCCCTAACACAGGCAGGACACACTGAGGTAGGTTTCTATGTCTAACTCAACTGCTAAGCTAAATATAAACTGATTTGGCTGAGATGACTGTACTCATAATTTCCATGAGTTTTTGTGAAAATAGCAGTTAATGTTTAAAATTTTCACCTTGACTTACTCAGTATGCTGGTATTTGCAATCTGAACAACTACATCGAGGACAGCAATGTGTAATACAAAACCCACAGTTGAATGCCTCTCATATTGGTCTTCTAAATGTATACCATTCCTAGTGTCTTATTGATTATTATACTTTTAAATAAATTAAAACAAAAAGACAAGAAAAAAGAAACTGATTATCAAGCACAATTTTCTAAAGGCTTCACATAATTCAAAAGATTCACTTTTATTTATTTTTGTCTTTTTGAGACAGGGTCTCACTGTGCAGTTCAGGCTGGCCTTTAGCTAACTTTATAGCCAAGGTGATTTCAAACTCACAACAGTCTTCCTGCTTCAGTCTCCAAGTGCTGGGATTACAGGCATGCGCCACCACACCTGGCAGGATTCAATTTTAGTAAGGATAGACACAGCCCTGTATTTAAATAGGGCTTTAATCTACAGGTAACCTGGACATCTCCATAAGCATAAGGTGCACTACAATATGCCATGTCAAGCTGAGTCACAAGCATGGCAGATGCCAAGCCAAGAGGCCCTGATACTACTACAGGAAAAGACTGACTAATGTGCCACAACTATGACACCAAGCTCATAAACCTCAATTAGTCTAGGTATATAAACTAAGCCTTTGGGTGCGCTTTATTTTTTCTAGGTGAGGTTTATTTTTTGTTTTTGGTGCCGAGGACCAAACCCAGGGCTTCCAGCTTGCTAAGCAAGCATTGTATTGCTGAGCTAAATCCCCAGCCCCAAACTAAGCCTTTGATTCTCAATAAAAGTTTGTAAATCCACTAAAGAAATTAAAAACCCAACATTGTATCTTGATTAAAGCTGCCTAAGGTCTGCAAAAGGGAGTGGGGAGTATATAAAAATATTTATATTTTGGGGGCATCTGAAATGAACTGCCACTTCTCAGATGAAAGAAGGAGAAACAGCAAATAAATATATGAAAAAGTGTTTAACATCATCGATCATTCAAGAGATGCAAATTAAAACAACACTGAGATTCTATCTCACCTGGGAAAGAACAGCTATCATGAAGAAATCAAACCAATAACAAACACCGGAAGGGCCA